ATGTAACACCGAGAGCGACACTTTAGCACGTTCTATGTCTGTCGGGCAATTTTTTAGTGGTTGTCACAACTTGGATTGTAGTCATTTATTTTTCCTTACGTGACATTACGACCTTTTACGGAATTACTTTTTATTTACGTTCCCTCCGAGAACGATACCACGGAAACCAAGTTCATTCGAGTCGTCATATAAAACACATAAAATAATAATAAATGCTACTTTGTTTCGGGGCACCGTTAAGAGAAAATAATAAAATATAAAAAGTATAATAGTGGTCTAATTAGAGACTATCAAGAACTTTTATAATTCAGAAACTGTAAACATCTTGATGAAGATTTAAGGTACGAACGCTGGGCCTCCGGGATATTTCAATGAGGTTTCGTTTATACATTTTCTATTATGTACATAAGAGCTATTTTATTACAAATTCAAAATAAAATAAAACAGAATATGGACCAGTCAGCGCTATCTGCTCACAATATTTCAAAATGGCAAAATTTAGCTTCTATTGGATGATCGAGGAGTCCTTCGAATAAATTTTATTTTGCTCCATTAAAATGACCGGGACGATATATAACTGCGAGTCCATAATAAAATAAAAAATTTCGCACCACACATTTACGCTAACAGTCTTTGAAATCCTGAAGGATGTGCGACATGCGTCGCACCAATAGTACTTATGGTGAAAATTCCGTCCCGCGTGTCTGTAAATAACTCCTTATGAAAACAATTAGGTTCCCGAGTCAAAAAATTGGGACTCATTTTGTCCTCATTTGATCTCAATAGAATTTTTAGGGATATTTCAAACTACAAGACTCAAAAGTCTCATTTTATCCGCGGTTTTCCCGTATCAGGACAAAATGAGACTTTTGAGGAGTAAAGATTATTTAGGAAACCTCATTTTGTCTTCAAAAAGTCTCATTCTTTTCTTGTTGAGGTTAAATTGAGGACTATTGCCATAGGATTGCAGACATTGAGAATAAAATGAGACTTTTTAGAATCCAATGTGATGAGTCTTATGAAAACTTATTGAGGTATCTGAGATTAAAAACGTCTAAATGAGGAAAAAATGAGTCTAAATAGTTCATTTGAGGATAAAATGAGTCCCAATTTTTCGACTCGGGTTATTCAGCACTTTTCTATACAAACCACCGAAACAAATCCACTCACTACTGAAAATCAATTTAAAACGAAGCTTGCACTCGCTGCAAATGATAAGGATGCAGCAACTGTTCCTTTAAACTTTCTCACACTATCATATGAGAGGAACCAATGTTCCCTGCTATTTCGCGTGTACTATTTCAAGGATTTCGTTCCTAAATAAACATCATGTCACAGTATAGTAACAACAGTTGTTATATAGGGACAAACTGATCTGAACGGTTGATGTAGTATTGCTGAATTAGTTTATTAAACTGCACATTGATTACATCATTTAAGATACAGGTTGACTGTTAACCTAAGCACCTAGAATCACACTTAATTTAATCTAAGAAATATACAATACATGATCAAAAAAAGAAAATAAATACTGCACTAATGTTGGTAATTACCAGCTGATTAAGTGCGGCGTTGCGGAACGTATTTCTTTACCAGGGCCGAATTTACTTGTACATTCAACTACGTTTTTCTCGAAAACGGTGAACTTTCGGACATACTTAATTGTCTTGTTTTATACTGCAATACCATCTCTTGCAAGCTTCGCACTTATTTTTGTTACACCGTCTAATATATTTAACTAATTTTTAATTAATGAATAAGATTGACAGTGACAGAGTGTTAATTTAATCTTGTGTTTCATCAAACCCTTCATATAAAGTTTTTGGTCTTCGTCTTCTTATTTTAAGTGTAGATTTATTTCGTATTTTAGACAACATAATGATACAGTTTTTTATCATTGTACATTTTCTTTATTCCTACAATCGTGCTTTCGGACAAGGTTAATTATTTGTACGTTTAAAGCTTAATGTCCAGCAATTTACCGACAATGGTGCCCATTTAAGAACAAAACCCCCACAATATCAGTTTGTTTTTCGGTGACTACAAAAATTGCTCTGACCATTAGTTAAGAGAGATACTGGCATTCTGGAGCAGTTGCAGTTATGCGCTGTCTCTCTTCTCAACTGAGGGTAAGAAAGTTCAGCGCAGTCATGTTTAATTCCGGAAAACTGGCTTGAATTTATCACTGTCACCTTCCGTAAGTAACGCCATTTCTACTAAATAATCTTTCGCCATTGAGCCGTGCTGTACGATAATTGATGATGGTAAGAAAGCCAGTGTCCGAACGTTTGCGCTACGATAATAAAAATGCATCATGGTCTAGTGAGAAAGGGTACGTTAACGGGGCATGTTTTAGACAGGAGGGTACAGGGTTTGCCGTCGTACTTATTTCTCTTTGAATTACCCGGCGCAAAATGAAACATGAAATTACAAAAATACGATAAACATCCCGAGATAAAAATGTTCAGTTTCTCAGAGTCTCTGAAAGTGAGACTCGAGTCTCCGTCTCTCATCGATTCTCTCTGGTGTCGCTGAGAGAGACTGTCGAGAGACTTTCAAAAAACTGTTTAGCGTCTCTGAACGAGAGACTCGAATCTCTGAACAAGAGACTCGAATCTCTGATCGAGAGACTCGAATCTCTCAATAAGTGGTGTCTCGATAGACATGGTTAAAAGTTCAACATATTTCAGAAATCCCAGTCTTTCTACGAGAGACTCGAGTCTCTCAATTTTTCAGTTTTATTCATTCAGTCTCTGTGCGAGAGACTTGAATCTCTGAATTAACAATTTTATCGTTCGAGTCTCTCATACAGAGACCGTGAGAGATCCATAAAACCACCTAGGCAATAACTGAGAGACTGTGATAGACGCTCTCAGAGACGCTGAAAGACTGGAGAAAGACTGAAAATTTTTGTCTAGGGATTACTTTTTATTTTAAACAGGTTAAAACTTTACAGAATAACTCCGTGCGGACCAATTTGTGGCCACGGCACTGTAGGTTGTGAGCAAAATAAAATACTTGCTCAGCTGAGGTAGAGGTAGTTTAGAATCTCATGAATACAGGATTGCGCATCGTTCTGCCATTCATGAATTCGTGGAGTTTATATGGTGTTCCATTTCTAATTGTTAACAACCGTGTCACTGTTTTCGTAATATACGATATCAATTTAATATGAAGCCTTGTGAGATTTTGAAATACCTCTACTTTTTAGATAAAGCTTTAGCATTTGAGTGAAGTCCAGGACTAAAAAAGCGAGTCTATAATAAAAATTTAAATCCGTGCCTGGACCCGAACGCTGAGCCGATTTGTAATGCACCAAAGGGTAAAGAGATCGAGGTCGGGAACATGTTTAAAAAAATTCGAGGGATTATTCACGGCGACATTGCAATCGTTGTTATCGCACTGCGCTATTGTTCGTGAGTATGAAGCGCAACGAAATTTCCTTTTCCAGGACGGCGCGGCGCGGTGCGACGTTGGAGAAAATACTATCATGTATATTTTACGACATGCACCGTACATACATGCATACAAACTTACATATGTATGTGTACACACGGGATGGCTGACATAAGCGCAGTGACAGTTGATTTGTCGGTAAACTGACTTCCCATTTTGGAAAGACAGTTAAAGTGATCAATTTTGACATACAGCAAACGGTAGGAAGAACTGCATGCATTATTCACTTTATCTTGGAGGAAACGCGAGCATAATTCACAGAATAATGTGTAATGTTGATATTTGATGGTATTTATGGGGAAAAATAGATGACGCATCTATTATTTAAGAGGAAATGTTAACCTCAGTCAGTAAACAAAATAGGAATAATTGGATACATGAGTAATAATAATTTTTTTTTGGTTTTAGTACCATTTAGTATCCAATTATATAATTATATTATAATATAA